GTATAAGTCAAAATATTACGACATAAAATGTGACGAAAGTTTCTTTTTTTTTAACTTCATTAAGTACAAACATAAATTTACTTTCTGTTCCACAGAACGTCAACTTCTACATATCAAAGAAAACCTAATAATTATTTAATTTACAAAATATATATACGAGTTTTATTATATATATATATATTCCAACCCACGAAGACTAGGACGGAAGGAGAAAATAACAATTATTTTAAAACAATACCTAATGTTAATTACACCTATCTTACGACATTAGTATTAGGCCTATTACATTGTATGATAAATACTACGTTCTTTATTCAGTCTCTCAGGAGTTGTCAAGAATGATAGGAGTGTGTATAATAATATTATTCCAACCTCGCCACGTTCGCCACATCCATTGTTGATGACACGTTTCGTTCAATTCAGGCAGATTGGGACACAACAATATTTATATATTCATTTGTTACAACAACAATTGTTACGGTGTCGACACCTCTTTCAAGCTGGCGAAGCACGATTGTGATTAATAATATTTGTCATAAGACACTAGTATTAGTCATATTATATTTTTAACGCTGTATGGTTCCTTGATTAGCTTGCAGTGCATTGTTGTAAATGTATCTCATTTCCGTTATGCAACACGACAGGAAATTAGAATGTTAGATATAAAGGGGGTTGGATGTAGTGGCGTTTTGTTTTTAATATATTTTTGTAACAACGGTGCCTAGTTTTACTGTATGACAGAAAACATAATACGTTAAACAGAAGTACCTTAAGATATGCAATAAAACACACGCATAAAATCGTAAAATAGTTTGACTGGTTGAATAAAAACCTAATAAAATAGTTTTAAAGTGTCATTTAAATATACAAATTTCGCTACGATAAAACTTAACTGTAACTTGTTTTTTTACAGGAACAATTTTATATTATAAAAACATATATAGTAGCCTTTTATGTTGTTATATTAAAACATATATAGTAGCCCTTTATGTTGTTATATTAAACATATAATGTAGCCTTTTATGTTGTTATATTAAAACATATATAATAGCCTTTTATGTTGTTATATTAAAACATATATAGTAGCCTTTTATGTTGTTATATTAAAACATATATAGTAGCCTTTTATGTTGTTTTATTAAAACATATATAATAGCCTTTTATGTTGTTATATTAAAACATATAAAGTAGCCTTTTATGTTGTTATAGTAAAACATATATAATAGCCTTTTATGTTGTTATATTAAAACATATATAGTAGCCTTTTATGTTGTTATATTAAAACATATAATGTAGCCTTTTATGTTGTTATATTAAAACATATAAAGTAACCTTTTATGTTGTTATATTAAAACATATATAGTAGCCTTTTATGTTATTATATTAAAACATCGACTAAATATTCAAACAATGATTTTTCTTACCTGGTTGGTTTCTGGTCTGGTGTATTAAAACATCGACTAAATATTCAAACAATGATTTTTCTTACCTGGTTGCTTTCTGGTCTGGTGTATTAAAACA